TTCCAATATTCCGATTACACATTCCACGTTTAGAGTCCACATTCCAATTTCACATTTCTCATTTCGATTCCACTTTCAATATTCCGATTCCATATTTAATATTACGAATTCACATTACACACTCTGTTCAACATTTTGATTATAAATTTCAAATTTCACTCCCATTTCCTCATTTACTTTGAAAACTTACTAATTATTTGTAAATGAATAATTTGCAACTAATTCTTTATACCATTTCGATACAATTTTTTATCTATGCTACATAAATTCGACATACTATTTTTCTTCATAATTTTTTTTTGTGAAAAATTACTTTTTAGTCAGTTTAAATCCGGTTCGCATATTTGTCTTCTAATTTTGTTTAAGAAAACTCCTTCCAACAATGATTCAGAAAAGCTCGTTTAAAATGATGAATTTTATGATAACCCATGCAGAACTACTTATCAAATTTAAAAAAAGTGATTATAAAATATGATGGTGTTAAGCATGTTTTTTTGTAGATTACTCGTTGAAAGATACACCTAACTTCAAAATTTAAACAAAATCGGTAAAAAGTCTTCTTTCTAGAGAAAGAATATTTTCTTGATTTTTTTAGGTTAATTGCAGTTATTTCATTAAAAATTAAAGTATTAAATTAATTTTTTATTTTTTTCTTAGATGTCTCGTGAACAATTTCTCATAGAATAAAACTTAGTTTTAATTCAATATTTTTGGAAGCCATAAAATTATGTAAATAAAAGATGTTTGATTCTTCTGTTTGGCCTAATGGCTTAATTTAATTTAATTTAATTAATTTGACCATTAGGCCAAACAGAAGAATCAAAACATCTTTTATTCAAAACTTAGTTTTGTTGATAATCGTCGTTAAAATTAAATAAATTCTCAAAAAATCTTGTTTTTTGCGATTTTTGGTTTATTCCTTAAAGTAAATGTAGAAATTCGCTTACTAATGTGAAGCGTTTTAAAGTACGTATTTCTTTTTTATCTTCAAAGCAAAAAGGAATTTATAAAATTTACTTCAAATTATCAATAGTTACAGTATTAGTAAAATTGAAAAGCCAAAATTGTTTCGAAAAGAATAGGTGTCAAAGTCGATTGGATTTTTACAATAATTATAAGTTTCATGCTTGATGACAAAAATTTAGCAAAAGGAAAACTTAATGATGGAAATGATTATAAAAGAAGAAGATGGTGATAATCTAAAACTAGAAGAAGTAACTACAAATGATTTAAAATTAAATTCGAAAATTATTTTTCATTTATATCAATTTTCTTATTCTTACTACTTTTTTTTATTATTTATTACCATTATCATTATTGCTACTATTATTTATTGTTATTTTCATTAAGTCATTATGTATTTTTATTATTTTTTATTTTTGCATTAATCATGTAAATGATTCTAACAAAAAATGGTGATATAACCAATTTTGGAATTGAAAGGAGTAATTGAAAATTATTTGAAAATATAGTTAAAAAAGATTTTGCTTTAATGTCTATTTTTTCTTATTATTTACACTACCGTCGGGAATTATCGGTACGGCTGCACGCGCACGGCCCAAAAACATACCAATCTTTAAATCACTATTTGTTTGTAAATACAAATGTCAGAAAATTAACAAATATACCATTCGAAAGATTATTAAATTCTACGATTATTGATACATAACTGAAAATTTTAATAATTTATACAAAGATTGCAGCAATCGACAAATTTGACAAAAAAAAATAAAATTTTTGTGGAAATTTTTTCAACCCCTTCATATGGAATCTGAATGTGGAATCAGAATGATGAAAGTAGAATCTGAATGTGGAATCGGAATGATGAAAGTGGTATCTGAATGTGGAATCGGAATATTGAATGTGGAATCGGAATGTGAAATCGGAATGTTTAAAGTGGAATCTGAATGTGGAATCTGAATTTTGAAAGTGGAATCTAAATGTGGAATCGGAATCTGAATGTGGAAACGGAATGTTGAAAGTGGAATCTGAATGTGGAAAGTGAAATCTGAATGTGGAATCGGAATATTGTACGTAGAATCGGAATATTGAAAGCGGAATCTAAATGTGGAATCGGAATGATGAATGCGGAATCTGAATGTGGAATCGGAATATTGAATGTGGAATCGGAATGTTTAAAGTGGAATCTGAATGTGGAATCGGAATGTTTAAAGTGGAATCTGAATGTGGAATCGGAATGTTGGAAGTGGAATCGGAATGTGGTATCTGAATGTGGAATGTAGAATCGGAAAAAGTTACGTAATCGACCCCCAGGTGCTTAATCAGCGACCTCAAAAATCCCTAGACACAAAGTGACATGAATATAAAACATTTTCTTATTTTTGTATACTACATATTATGAAAAAATGAAACCATTTTAAATTTTTAAATGTAAGTTTCGTTACATATATTAAAGCATGGTTATTAAGAACGCGATATGTGTAGGTTTTGCGCATGTATTCTCATTTGCTACAATAAAAAATTCACTTTTTCAAAAAAGTAAAATTTCCAATTTCTTGTCAAAAATGTCTAATTTTTAATATTAAATTTTTTTGGAATTTAAATCATAAATTCTGAAAAAGCGATAAAAACTCTATAAGCACTAAAGGATAAATAAATAACTCTTACAAAAATTGTGAGAATGAATCGTAACCTAGAAACTGTTTTTGTTAACTTATAACATTGTTTATAAAGTGCAGCCTAAGAAATTTCGAGTAGGAAACATGTTCACACATTCATTCTATCTCCTTATACTATATACCGTAAGAAAAGCTTCATCTCAGTAATAGGAAAGTATGGGAATCGCATAAGTTTATCGCTCTCTCGCACTCATAGATTATGACTACAACATCAAGATTTTTTACAGTATATTTCAATAAATTATGTTTAGTTACCTTACTTCATCTAAACTCACGGTTTTCTTATTTTTCTTTATTATTTATGTTGTTTTATTTTCTTCTTTTTCTATTCTCAAAGCATTTAATCTATAATAAATTTTGAAAAGTACATACCTTAAGGGGACTTTCTGTCAGAATTGTTAAAAAAACACACTTTCTTAAACTCTTATTGTAAAAAATGTGTTATAGTTATTGCAAAAATTTCTTTTGGATATTATTACATATTACAAGAAGAGAATTACAGTCAGATTTCGCAAAGTGTCGTTTTCAGTAAGTGTCATGACTCACAAAGTATCGTTCAAGACCCGACAAGTGTTACTTTCCCCACTTTTTTTTACTCTTTCCAATGTGAAAAATCGACTTCGCCAAACCGGTTTGCAACATAAACCAATGAAATGACCACTTTTACTAAAGGGGCGTGGCTTAAGCCACTGACACTTACTGAGACATACGGTCCCAAAAAATTCCCAGTGACGACACTTAGCGAGACCTGACTGAAAAATTTTTTTTGGGTATTTTTAGTTTACAACTATAGGTGTCGTCTTCAAAAAGGTGACATTTATTAGGGCAGACAGTTTCCGAGCAACCTTCTTTACATAAATTAGAAATTCAAACGGTATTCTGTTTATAAGGGTTTTTTCTATACAACAAACCTCAAAAACCATATTTTTAAAGTTCTACAATTTTTTATGCACATTTTTCTTAAAAAAATAAAAAAATGCTGAGTTTTTGGGTCAATTTACCCCTGTAGAAAGTAATAGAAATTACAAATCTAAAATTTTAGAGGTTTGTTGTCAAGTTTTTTAGATAAAGAATAGAATGGTTTTTGGTGTTTTTTTTTAAAGTGTCTCCCCGTTTTCAAAAATGGGTTTTCGAGAAAAACGCGTTTGAGGTTTTCGTAGCGTATTACAGTGAGTTAAGAAACAATTATAAAAATTAATATCTTTCTCTTAAAAAACGTTTTTGGACAGTAATTTTATAATAGGATTTTCGGGAAATATAATTTTTCTAGTAATAATAGTTGCCGTCAAGATATGCAAATGTCGTTTTTCGCGGTAAAAGTAAATATGTTTTTTTTCAACTTTTTGGGTTTTAACGTTATAATTAAAGTGCACATATTATCTGGTACGTTTTCTCCAGCTTAAGGTGTACTGAGTTTAGTAAAAACAAAGTTTAATGGAATACGGTCAAAAGGAAAAAAATTGTAGTTTAATTATCAGATGACGGTGTGGGGCTAAATCGGAAATCGTGATAAACAACAACCAAGTCTGCGAATACTATAATTCATTTTATATTAATTAACTATTTTATATTATATTCTTTGCATAAAACCACTTTATAAATAAAGAAAGAATTTATTTTAAAACACGAATTAGCAAGCGAGCTGCTGCAAACATACAAGTCTGAAAACTATAATTCATTTTACATTATATTAATTACCTATTTGATATATTTTTTGTATATGTAGAACTACCTATAAATAAATGAACAAAGCATTTATTTGAATTTTCTACATAAAAAACGCAAATTTGTATCTCATTCTTTAATTAATTAGCGGTGTCCGATTTAACCTATATGGGGGGTTCGGTTTAGCCCCACCAATTTTGACGTTTTTGTTTTTGAGGTAGTCACCTTTGAAGTAATATATCACCAAAGCTACTGTAGTTTTTTAAAATCGAACTGTGATTTGCAGGTGAAGGAACAAGCTTCAAGACGGTATATTACACTTTATCAAAAAATAGTTTTTTGTATGAGTTTTCTGGTCAAAGACAAAATCCGTCCAGTTTAGCCCTAGTCTCCGCTACTAAAAAACAATTTAAAGCAAAAAAAAGAAAAATCGATTCTTTTTAAATCTTTGACCAGAAAGTCCCTTTACGTGAAGAAAAAAGAACCTTAAACTTAACTGAGCTTACTTTATATAAAGTGTATATTAAAAATTATAATAAAATTATAAAATATAATAATATCAATCTTTTAAAACATTTGAATATAGAATTGTTAGAGAGACATTAATAAAGGTTTAATTGTATACATAATGTGAAAATTAGATAATAAGAAAATATTAATAATAATAAATTAATAAAATAAAATCATTTATTACAGATGCAAACGTACTTCAACAATTCGTATGAATTCTTGCATAATTACTCATATGTGGTGGAAATTTATACGAACATCTTTTCCTTCCTTCTCATCATGTGTCTCATTGTTACTTTCGACAAGTTAGTATATATTTAAATATTGTTGAACATAAAAGAAATTGTTTCTTGTAAGATGGTAATCAAGTGTCGTCCAACGGACATTTATTTTACTTATCATATCGATAAGGCAGAAATTAATAATTTATTTTTATTTTAATGCATGGATTCTGAAAAAAATGAATCGTCTCTTACATAGTTTTTTTCAGAAACCATGCACGAAAATAAAAATAAAAAGAAATGATTAATTTCTGCCTTATCGATATGATAAGTAAAATAAATGTCCGTTAGATGACACTTGATTGCCATCTTACTAGAAATATTTAATTGTCACGGATGAAACTAAAATTACCATCAAAAACACATTTATAAAAGAAATTGGTATATGGTTCGACGATCCATGGACATTGTTCTTATACCTAAAATACAATAAAACTTAAAACTATATTACAAAAACATTAAAAACTATTACAAGAACGCAAAAATGTTCTCTCTCAAGTGCCTGGGCTTCCGTTTCCTGTTTTTATTGTGCCGATTGTGGCTTTTTGCGTGTTAATTTACACATACTCTACACATTTTCTCTTTATTCCCCACCCAGTATCTACATTCTCTTACCCCCTCCTCCAATTTATATCTTACTACCCTACAACACTTTGTCTTTCTTCCTCTGCTGGTTAGATATTTTGTCCCACCCACCCCTTTCACTATTCTGTACCACTTATTATATGTTAACTTACCTATATTTCCCACCTCTTTTCAAAATCTTTTTCCTTTCATGCCTGTTCCATCCCATACCTTTTCTTTCCTCCCTGCACCGTTGCGTCCACTGATTTCCTCTTCCCTGCTTTAATTTCTCTTCAAATCCCCACGTCCTCCTCCCCTGTCTTACCAATATTTTTTCGCTACCTAATTCTTCCATGAGCATGTACCCCGGACAACTTCTGCTAATCCCCAGCGTCCATCTCAAATACCTCTCACTCATACTCTCCACTTTCCTTCTACCCCCATACTTCCACCCTATAACGTATTACTGACTATACCAACACATCAAAAAAACCATACATTTCCTATTCCTATTAATAAATAGGTAAATCACATAATCTTTGTTTTCTCTACATTCACCCACAGATCCTTTCCCTTTACATACTTTTCGAAATATCTCTCATCAAGAATCCCCTCCCCATCCAGAAAGTATCTCCGAATACTTCCCCAACTCTCACCCTTGCCCTCACATCCTTGTACAGCTCCTTAATTTGCTCAATGAGGCCCCTCTCCACCCCTCTTTCCCTCAACGTTTCACCAGAGCACTCCCTAGTGCTCATCCCTTTACGAAATCCTGCCTGGCTTTGTGGTATCCATCCAGCCTTGTGTATATTTTCTTCCATCCTCCTCCTCAAGATCTCTGCGTATACCTTATACCCGACTGGCATTAGAGTGATACCCCTATATTCAAAATTGTCAATCGTGCAAAACATTTTTTCTCCAATAGCAGGTATTTTTTGAGTAAGAAAATCATAGTTTTAATTTTTTTCCCTCGTGCAGTTTTGCTGTAGCTTCAAATTTTGCATTTTCGAGATGCGACGTCCCTTAAACTTAACTTTAGGAAAATTAACTTGTCAAAATATAATAAATAAGGTATCATTGGAAAGGTAATTAAATTACCTTTCGATCCATAGGTCATAGAATAAAATTCAACAAAATTAAGAGAGTTTCAGTCGATTAAAGATGAAATTTTTTGCCAATTTTGGTGATTTTTAGACGTTTCAGTAACTTCTATTATTTTTTTCCACTTCAAACAGAAAAAGATTTTTAGGTTTTAATTTTTTTATTGTTGACTATATCATTACAAATATTTTGAGCCCTTGTGGACCTCTATTGGATTAAAAATGACAATTCTGCACTAAATTTAGTGAACAAAACTACATTCTTCATTTTTAGTATCCCTTCAACATTTACAGCAAAAATTCAAGTAGTAAAATTTTGTTAAGAGCTAAAGTTACTGAAATCACTAATCAAGGTTTTCTGAAGTCGTAGATTTCGAATACTTTGTATTCGAAATATTTTCTTCTCTCCAATCGACTTTTCCTTTTAGCTAAATAATAACCGGGAAATGCTCTGAACACAGCTCCATTCTCACCTTCAATGCGCTCAGCCTCTTTCTTACATTTTCCTCCGCCAAGACATAATCAATCACAGTATCTCCCCTCTCCATAAAAGTATATTCTCCTTCCTCATCCCCCTAATATTCCCATTGTATATTGCCCAACCTTCCCCCTCCAATATCCCTAACAATTTCCTTCCCTCCTCATCTACCTCTTTATGTTTTGATTCCCTTTCATACTTGTTCGTTTTATTATTCCATTGTCCTCCTCCGAACTTCCCCGTCCTTGCTTTTAAATCTCCCCTATAAGCACCAATCTTTCCTTCCCCCTGTCCATCCACTCCTCCAGTATATTCCATCCTTCGTCTTTTCCTGTAGATTCCCATAATATCCAGTTCTTCTTTTTCCATCGTAATGGTTCTTATCATTCTTCCCTCCTTTTCCATTCCTTTTATTTTCTTCCCCTCCTTTATCCCCATTCTTACCCTTGTGATAATTCCTCCCGCACTTCGACCCTTCACCGCTTCTTTTCTTTCCCCTTGTATTCTCCACCGATATCCTCTTGGCCGCTTCACCTTTACTTTCTCCCAATCTCTTGTCTCCACCCACGTCTCCAACAAAAATATAACCTCCCATTTTTTTAACTCCTCTAGAAACCCTCATCTTTATTTTTCCACCCCCTATATTCTAAAACACCACCCTTATACCATGTCTCCCTTCCCCTGTTCCTGTTCTCCTTCCCAAAACCCCACATCCCATCTTCCACTATTTACCGCCCCCATGTCACGCTTTTCCCTCAATAGCCAATCTCTTCTTCTTTCCGTCCAGGATTTATCCTCCTCTATTGTTTCTTTCCTATCTCTCAACTTCTTTTTTAACTCCATTACTTCTCTTCTCTCTTCCTCGCTGCCCAATTCCGCCACCCAAATCTTTAGATTCTCCTTGTTTTTCTCTCCCACCCCTTTCACTCTTTTGATTTTGACCTTCGCTTCTATCTCCTATTTTCTTTCCCAACCCTTAGTCGTCTAATTACAATCCCAAATTTCCTCTTCTCTCACTCCAGCCTTTCCACCTCCCTTAACAAATCTGACACTTTTTTCTCCAATTCTACCTGTTAACTATAGCAAAGATAATGCAGCTAAACAGTTGAACGCATTATTCCAAAAATAGTTGTCCCTTCCATAAACATCGGAAAAATTTGCGGAGTGACTGCGAAAAATTCTGCTGATTGATTTCCGGAAAATTTTTAAACAAATTTGTAGTGAATCTGATTTTTATTTCTGATTTTTTTTTTATTTTCACTTGTGCTGCATTTTTTTGGGAAATCAACTCATTGTAACCTACGTGAGTTATCAGAAAGTCGTCAATTTATTTTCAGATTTCCAGGTTATTTCTGGATAACTTTTTAAAATAAATTAATGTAAAATGGTCAACATCTATACCAGGATGTGTTAAATTTACTACCAAACATTTAGACGATTTTTGTTGGATTTTTTTCAACGGTTGACGATTATCGATTTGTCATTTCCTGTAGACAAATTTTACTTAATTTATTTGGCACTTTTGATTTTTGAAGAAGCTGTCAAGAATATTAAACTGATTGCTGACGACATCATGACGATTGAAATTAAGTCCCTTGAAGAAGTTGATAAGCATTTATCTAAATATCCTTTAAGAAACTGGTTATTTTAACCTGGTCTTTGAAAAAGGTTATCTTTCTTGAAGAAGTTGATCACAACTGATCTGAATAATATGCTTGTAATTACTTATTGACTTGTTGGAATTTGATTTTTTATATTTCAGATAAACTTTCTATATAGAAATTATAAATTCCTAGGGTTAAATTGAAGTAAAATTTTTAGAAATAATCATGTTTCCTAAAAATTGATTTAATTAGATCTGAATGTTAAAAACTTAACTGATAACTTTCTGATAGTCCATGTCAGGTATATTCCATTCATTTATCGAATGATTCTAGCAGAAGTAAAAATAAATTTTTTTTTAAATTAAAAGTGAAAAGCAAAACAAAAAATTAGATTCACTACAAAATTTTAAAAAACTTTTCGGAAATCTCAACGAAAAATTTCCTGCAGTCACTCCGCAAATTTTCGCGAAGTCTATCCGTAGAAATTACGAAAACCAATTACAGTACCCTTTTTCAACTTTTTGTTTGTTAAAGATACACTTATGTTAAATATATTTAATGTTATCAAGTTTGTCTAGAAAGCTTTAACTCAAGTATATTTTAAGAAAAAAGTATTCACGGGAAGCAAAAATCAGTTAGCGTAACGTTTTCAGACCAAACCGAATTTACCGTAAGTTACCATTAATAGAAAACAGCTTTACTGAATACTTTTTTACTGTAATTATCTAGTACAAGAAATTGTACCTCATCTTGTACAAGTTCGTTTCACAAAATATTTCCTTTTGAAAACTATGGTTAATTGTTCTCTTCAATTTCGCTAAAAGATTACCTAGTGAAGTTTTTTGAAACAATATTTATAAACATTGGAGATATAAAACTTATAAATTTTCAATTTTTTTGAAACTTTTTATTAGTAAAAGATAGTAAGGTAAATTTCCTAATTGTTTATTACATTATAAGGTCCGAACGTTCGAAATTCCTGCATATACGGTCGACAGTACGCTCGCTAATTTACTTACATATTAGAAAATTTTAAACTTTTTAATAAATAAAATTTAATTATATTTTTTCAAATTATTAAAATTTTATTACAACATTGCAGCACGTATTAAATAATAAATTATACAATTTTAAGAGAACAATCAACCACAGTTCTATTTAAATCCCAAAACTCTAAGGAAATTTCCATTATCACGTACCGTGGAATTGGTCAAGATTCTTTAGAGCACTGAAAATTAATGCAAAGAAATGATAAAATACTTCACAAGAGTGTGTACCAAATCATGTACAATTTATAATAAATAATAATGAATAAAATCATTTTAAAAACTTGAGATTCGACATTGCTCATTTGGATGGTGAACATCTGCGAAAGATCTACATGAATGAAGCTAAATCTGCAGCAGCAATTCTGTTCTATCTGATCACATTTTGCCTGCACCAAGTATCTCTGAGGGTTGACGATAAACTCTCCTTGATATACTACAATGGCAGCAGTAACAGTATCACTGAAACGACCTTCAAGAACGTACGTATACTATTCACGTTCTATTGATAAAATTCACTGTTATTCCTAGCAATCCTTATAACAACATTCTCTAATAGTTTACACGTGAAGGCAATTTGTTTTATATACAGATACAGTTGTACGAAACAAGATTTAAAAGAATGAAAATGTTTGCAAAGTTTTTAAATTTTTTTATTATGTCTTCCATAATAAAGTATCTACATAACTAATAGGTACTGTTTAGAACCACTTTAATTAAAAATAAAGACTAATTTTTATTAACATAAAACTAAAATATATTAAGTATTATTATAATGCTTATTCTATATACTTATTAATAACGATTTTTATTCGCAAATTATTATTGTATTTCTTAACTTACTTTAAATAATTTTTATCAAATGTTTATTATACACTTCGTTCTTCGAAATATTATGTATCAATACATATTAAGTTTTATTTCCTAAGAAATCTGATAATGAAACCCCAAACTCTGATTTCGATTACTCATTAGCTTAAAAAAATCCAGAATGACGATTTTTGACGATAACGGTTGTTAGTATTAGCAGATAGTTAACATGTTATGGAATTAATATAAGTTATTAATATTATTATTAGTTATTAAAATCAGTGTTAATGTTAACCATAAATCCAACACAAATTTTTATCGTGTCTGATTAATGCAGTTTTGAATAATTTTTAGTGAAAGTTGCTGCAAATCGTTTATAATAATATAGATTACATTTACATTTTTCACTTAAAAATTCCAACGATTTGCACATAGCAGACGTAATATATATTCTAATAGATAATAATTTCCAATAACTTTCATTAAACATTATTCAAAACTCCATTAACCAGATACGAAAAAGATTTATGTTGTTAAACTGTGACGTCATAATGGTTCAAATGCGCTTAATGCTTTTATATAATACATGCATAAAAAGTCCCACTTCTGGTGCAAGGAAAATGTGCGAGAAAGGGCGTTTTATAGCGAACGATCATATAAATATTTCCGCGCATGCGTATATTGTTCCTAGTCTCTTTATTTCACACTTTTTACTTTATTTCACACATTCATTTCACAGTTTTCATTTAACAGCCAATCAGAAACGTTGTAGTGACTTGCTATTTAAAGCGGCGGAAGCACAACTAAAAATGCGCCATCTGTGAGAAGAAAATCAAATTAGAATGCATGTCGGTAAAAAAGTATACACGACTCGCGCCATGTTCTGAGAGTTTCTAACCTTCTTGATGAGATCGCTCACGTGAAAAATTCTGTTTTTATTCTTTTTTCATACTTCTTATTGATACGTCTAAGTACTCGGCTCCAACTCGTGTTGCCTGTTGCACTCGCTTCCGATTCGTGGCGCTAACGTCGCCCTTCTATAAACTCCGCTTTCTCGAACTCGTATCATAAAGTACTATTCTTCCAGTTTGAAGGTATTATTTAAAAAAAATTGTGACACATCTATCAAAATGTTGTTGGTTCGTGACGTATAAACGAACTCATACGCTTTTTCAAGGCATACTGAAGAATAAATGCAACAATTGGTCCTTATAGATTGCGAAATGGAATCCATTGGGCTCACTTTATCAAAAAACGTCCTAAAAATGTTTTGTCTTGGCCATTCGATTTCTTTAAGATGTTTAAGAGACTTCTTTTTTCAATCTTTAAAATAGAAAATATTATTTTCAAAGTTCAACTTGGTCTTAGAAACTGATGAGTATAAAAGTTATTGTAATTTTTCTAAGATAAATTTCTTTCATGGGCAAGTCAGATCGTAAAATTTGTAGAGGTTCATATCTGTCTTCAACGGCTGAGGTGTTTAAGGCGCAATGTTTTGTTTTCTAACAAAACTATATTTTTCATATTTCTCAGATCAGTTCCTATCGATTAAAAAAAATCGACTGAATTTCATTAATTTTAGACAAAGATATGGGCAAATCCACGAAACTGTTAACTTTTATGATACTCGAATCGAACACTTAAAAGTCTGTATTATTTTAGATTGAAACTTATTGTTTAATCATATTTTCCTAAATTATATACTAAACAACATTTATGTACAGTATTAGAACAAAATATTAATTTGTCAATTAATTTTATGAGTTTAAAATTGAAAAAACGCTTAAATTTCATTTGAAACTCTCAGAAAAGTATACATTTTTAACGTTTTTATTTTTACGGCGTGTGAAATATTAATTCAGCTACAAGGAAAATAGCTAAGAGACGTATGTTTTCAAACTTTTTTCACTATCCCATTAGTGTGCTACGACTGTAAGAAAATATATGAAGGTTTGATTGAATGATGACACTTTTTAAGAAAATTTAATTAAACGTCTTCTTATGAAAATACCTAGTGCGGCGTAGAATAAAAATAAAAGTTCAATAAGTTTTTAAATAGACAATAAAAAATCGAACATTTTAAGACCTTTTTCATTAGTGTGCCTATATTTGTATTCCTGTAGAAACAATTTAAAGATGTCAATACAAATCGTGATTTTATTTAAATTTATACATTTTTGAAAGGCACAACTACAATTTTACTTTAAACAAGTCCATGTATAGTGTGATCGAAGCATTGCCTTACAGATATTCAAAAAAAAAGTATGCCGCTCAAGGATTTTAAAAACTATCAATTTTATTAAGTTAAGAATATGCTTCAAATTTCAGAAGTTGAATTCTTAAAAATCAAAAAGTTCAATTAATCATTTTAAATTTAAATTTAAACTTTAAATTCATAATCAGCGACCCCAAAGACCCCCGAGTAACGAGTTTCAATCAAATCCAACTATTTAAATTTGTCATCCGTCATAATGGAGCCGCCATTTTGAATTTTGAAAAACCGACTTCAAATTGTCCAGCGGCGACCCCAAAAACCTCCGAGTAAAAAGTTTCAACTGATTTAATTGATGGGAAGGTCTTACACATTTTTTGTTCACTTTATAATATTTCAGTTCCGGAAGGGTTAATAATAAGTGTTAAACATTGGGGACATGGGTTAAAAATGAATCACGCTTACGAATTTGTGGTGCTAAAACATTCTTGAACACGTATGCAAAGTGACATCTATGTGCATACAAATTAATAAAAAAAAATTTTTTTTCTTAAAAGTCAAAAGTTTTATGGATTTGCCCATATATGGTTTCAAAATTCAAAATGGCGGATCCAATATAAATACCACAAATTTAAAATTTATTGGATTGTCATTGTTACTCGCAGGTTTTTTTGTCACTGATTACGAACCTGTAGTCTATTTTTAAATTTAGATTGTGCTAATTTAATAGATTAATAGATAGATAGATTAATAGATTAATTAATAGATTAATTAATAGATTTATTAATAGATTAATAGATAATTAAATTCAGTGCCCTGAAGTTGGCCACAAATAGCTATAATTTATTTAACATAACTTCCAGTCGTAGACGAAGATAGCATCAAAATCATGTCAAAGATCATCGCTCTGAAGTTGGCCACAAATGGCTATAGTATATTTAAAAGGTATAATATAGTATATGGATATAGTATATCTATCCCTATAATATAAAATCATTTCGTCGTCGCTAATTCAGAAAATTCCAAGAGCCCCCTGTATTATATTTTAGGTAACTCCTGGTCAAAATATACGTCAATTTTGACCTATTTTTTAACCTACAGCTCAAAAAGAAAACCCAAAATCCTTTGTAAAGGGTGACAACCTTTTACAGAGGCTTTATGGGGCTGTACGTTAAAAAATAGGTCAAATTTTATCTAAATTTTAACATAGGGTAATAGACCTTTTCAGGACTATTTTTTTCAAAGCAACAGTATATTTAGGATAATTCTACGCCACACACATTGAGGGCCGTTATGTTATGTCAAAATAAAAGCCAATTTTGACCTATTTTTTAAAATACAGCTAAAATAATGACTAATAATAATAAGTAATAATAATAATAAGTCGTTACCCTAGGTCAAAAATTTGGTCAAATTTGACTTATTGTTAACCTACAGGTAGAAAAATTCTTCAAATTTGACCTAAATTTTGACTTAAATGCGAAATGGCATACTTCTCGTGCAGGTATACCTGCACGAAATTATTTTAATTATTATTTATTTAATTTCTAATTAGCTAGCAACTCAGTTTTTAAAATTATCAATCAATTAATCTTAGACTTCTAAGAAGCATTAACTCTTAAAAACTGAGTATCAAGCTAATCTGAAAAAATTTTGAAAAATCGATTAGCCATATTGCAAACGTCATTTTGAATTTTGAAAAACTATCACCGAAATTGTAATCAGCGACCGGGGTTCACCCAAGAATCAAGTTTTAGGACATTTGGATCAACTTTTTAAAAAGTCGTCCGCCATATTAGATACAACATTTTGAATTTTGAAAATCTGACGTCGGATTCGTAATCAGCGACCCCGAAAACCTGATTTTGTTTTTATATAAAGCTCTCTTGCTATACAGGTTACTTTTTCACAGTTTATATATATATATATAGTACGCGTTTTTTTGGACGATGATTGTTTTTCCATTCACTGTTAACAATACATGTTTCAGGAGAGCGGCATTCAAATTCCACTCAACGAGATGACGACATGGCAGAGAATGACACTGTCAAAGGATGTACTTGCTGTGTTAGCCTGGTTCTTTGTTTGTCTTGGTACTCGAGACGACATGTTGTTGATGCACCTGGAAACCATGGAGAAATATGCCGAGATTCTCAACCCAACAACGTGAGCATTATCGATCCAAGTGATTACGAGTCGAGATTAGTGGCAGCTCTTTTCTTCTCTTGGGATAAACAAAAAACTCATGAACCGTCATTGGAAAAGAGGGTAGTAACTCTGTCTCCTTCATAGAAGAAAATAAAATAATATATGTATATAAGCCTGTTACACATTGTGCATTTTTATTCTAAACGTTTTGACAGCGTAAGCGAAATTAATTGCTTTCGAAGACTAATGAATATATCGGTCATTGTTTCTGAAAGCTCTCCTTTAAAGTCTCATATACGAGAAGGTATAAAATATTTTTATTTTTCCTTAAAAGTATCAAACATTTTTTAAATAAAGTTTAATAACTCAAAATTAGAAAAGTTTCTGTTTTATAAAATCAAAAAATTATTTTGACCTATTATTATAGTTAGTGCAGCAATTGTATTAATGTTTATAAAAATTTCATAGTAACACAAATAATAAGTTTCATAAATTTTAAGTTTAATTCCTTTACTATAAATTTTTTTCTATGCAGAACTATCTTCATTTTCAAAGTTTCGTATTATTATTAAAAAAATGCAATGTAAATAAGTGGAGTCGAATTTTGTTTTGCAATAAAATTTTGTTTTGGAAGTATTGTTACGATTAAAATAATGATAGCTTTAAGCATTAACAGTTTATTTTCATTCACTAAAGCTACTCCGTACAACAAACCGACAATACGATAGAATAAGGGACCAATAGGAAGGCATTATTCTCGGAGGGACCAATATTCAAAATATTATCCAGATTTTTTCTCTTTCAATTCGCTAATTTGATTATTATTTTTCATTTTCTTTAGTTTAGAACAATTGTTTTCAACAATATCCAATTAGTATCACATAATTTTTTTGTTTTCGTTTACCAGATGGAAAAGTTTAGTTTCACATTATTCAATTATGCTAATTGGATCAATCATGCTCAATTCTGTCAAACAATAATAATGTGACTAATTAGTTAATAAATTCTAAATTTCAAGTTAATCATTTTATTTTGTTTACTAATCCACTAATTATCTCTTCACAAGAGCGTAAAGAAACCTAATAGACCTAACAATAAATTATTAGGACACCGAGGACATCGAATCCTGTCGAAAGGTAGGTGGAAAGGACATTGCACGTAATGAGGTAATATTGATAGAATCCTAATTTTCAAAGCGTCACGTACCCTGTCAGATCGATGAAGGTTCAAGGGTTTTTAAGGTCTTCTTAATTAAAATAAATTTGAAAGCCCTAAACTAGGCAATAGTAGGTATACAGGGAACGTTCTAACTCAAGATCCCTGCACCGACATGTTACCGACGCTTTAGCCCAGACTCAAACCACTTAGCCACGACTCAAACCATTAGGGGGGGGGGATATTCAGACTGTTATGCTGAGCTGGATATGACGTCATACTTCCAAGAATTTGGGGGGGATATTGAGATCGTGATTCTTGGAATTTATCAAATTTCTTGGAATTATAACTTCATATTATAAAACAATCCTTGAATTTTCCATAGGGGTTGATGACTCAGAATTTTGGAATTTTTTATTGGTATTTCCTATTTTTTGGGTGCATTCTTTAACGATGACGCATAATTTCTTTGTTTTTTGCAAAATAGAGGTTGATGACTCATAGTTTTGGATTTTCTTATTGATGACTCATAATGATTGGTATTTCCTGTTTTTGTTTTTTACAGGGTGCATTTTTTAACGATGACACATAATTTCTTTGTTTTTCGCAAAATAGGGGTTGATGACTTAGTTTTGGAATTTTTTATTGATGACTCATTATCATTAGTATTTCCTGTTTTTGTTTTTTACTTATTTTATTCTTGGAATTATTATTTTCGTCTAAATATTGCAAATCACTGTTTATTAGATTCTTATCTAAGGAATTCTTACAAACATTTTCGTTACTTTTCATAAGAATGCTTTTGATCTTACCGCAATTCCAAGAAAACTATAATTAACTTGAAGGTCAAATAGGTCATATCTCGTGTATATAAAGAGGGCAATTTTTATAAACGAAATCATTCCTGCAGTTTAAGTTGGTTGATGAACATATTAGCAGAACAAAGTCGTGAAATTCAAGTGCGCTTAAACAAATTGAATCAAGAAATACATAAAGTTAAAAGTTTAATTGAAGCAAGGTCAGAGTTAAATATTTTAGTGAAAAAATTGAATAAAAATGAATTTCGATAAATTAAACAAAGCCAGCAAAGTCTTGGTCACAAAAACAACAAAGGAGTTAACCATCGATGCATTCTACAAAGTAACAGATATTAAAAAAATTGATACGAAATTTGGTCCGAAAATTGTTGCTGAAATAAATAATGAATTTAACATTTTCCTACCACCAAGAATGCTAAAAATATTTGAAGAGGATGCAAATCTTTTCAACAGTTTAAAAGCTGAAGCTGTCAGAGGTGGTGTATATTTAAGAAATGGTGGAGGACCTTACAATCAGATAGAGTTTGTTCCTGAGGGAGTTGACCACTAAAAGACATAAAATGTCATATTTACCATGTGGAGAAATGTTATTATCAAAAATTTACAACTTAAATCCATCATTTACAAAGCAAGTTGTCGTTGGAGCAGAACTTAACATAAATGGAAATATAATACCAAAAATTCAACTAAGAAGCAGCCATCCACGAGTATCATTGTCTTTGGAGCTTCAAGAATGGCGCCTTTTGTGTGATGCAGTAAAACATATCATGCAATTTTGCAACGGAGATTGTGATGCAACATTGCTGGATTGTGAAACCTTTACAATACGTTTTAGTGCTACATATCGTTTAATATCAATTAAGCGTTCAGATCAGTCTTTTACATTTAGTGAAACATCATTTGCAATTTTTAATGAACTTATTCCTTGTTTCGAACAAAAATATGTAGAACTATCAAAATTCAATTTGCAGTATAGTAAAGATATAATTGTAAAGTTTATTGCAGAATTAATCTTTAAAAATCATGTAAAGTCTACAAAACATGCCACAGATTTTATTAAAAAATATTACAGTAGAATACTTTAAAAAGTGATGGGAAGAACTAATGTTTTAAATTTAGAGATATTATTGCTGGAACTTATCACATTTCACTGTAAACAAATATCAAATGAAGCTATTCAACAAATGTCAAATATTCATTGTATAAATGGTAAATTATTGTGAAGAGAGGATAAATAAATACAAAATACATACAATTCAATTTATTTTTATTTGAACCTTTCTGAAATACATTATTTATAATTCAGATTCGTTTATCCAACTGTTATAAAAATTATCAAAACCCAACCATTTTACAAATACATTAGATCCTCGTTTTTTTAATACTTTTCAACTAAATATACATCTGGATATTTAACTTTAGAAAGTTCTTGTTCGAAAAAACATCCACTTATTGAATTTTCTTGATAATCCTTTAAGATATATGTTATTGGATTAGTATTTTTTACATCGCTTATAGTAAATATTTCTGTAGTCCAATTTGGTGTATAACCTTTCTCAAAAACATGTTTAACTTTACTTATACGTACTCTATCTCCAACTTTAAATTTCTTATTATATTGCCTGTTTACTGCAACTTTTCTAAATACATTAAACAACAAATTATTTTCATTTTCAGCATTTACATCTATTGGTTTCATTTTTATTGTTCGATGTTTACTATTATTATACGCATTTACTAAATCACTTAATATATCTATCCATTTGTAATTACCGCGTAAACTAAATTGCATCCACATTTTATTCTTCAAAGTACGATTAAATCGTTCACAAATTGACGCTTTCAAATTACTATGAGTAGAATACAAATTAATGTTATAATTTTTAATAAGATTTTCAAAATGTGAATTATAAAATTCTTTTCCTTTATCTACTTGCAAATTTTTCGGTATGCGTTTTTTAATTAAAATAGATTTCATTGCCGCAGTCACATCTTCACCTTTTTTGGACTTTACTGGAACAGCCCAGGCAAACTTTGAAAATGTATCAATGACGGTTAACAGGTACTTGTAACCTTTATTTTCTCTCGCATAAGGTTGCATTTCAACAAGATCAGCTTGCCAAGTCTCGTCAAAACCTCGAATGTCAACACTTCTTCGCTTATAATTTTTTCTCGCTGGTTTATGTCACTCTTTCACCAACTGTAGTTTTTGATCCTCCATTGCTAATTACCTTCAAGTGTGCGCAGTCTGCTGTCTAATTGTAAAATAATGTCTTTGTTGGTAGACATCATCTCTATATTTCTTTCAATACTGATTCTTAGATTTTCAAAATATTTTTTTATCAAATCTTCTAAATCTAAAATCTTTACTACATTGTCATTTACATCATTTCTCACTGAACCGAATACATCATAGATAGCGTTTGCTTTAGATTCAATAACTTTGTTTACAATATTCAAGTTTACTGCATCACCGTTGTTCTCAGCATCAGCTACGTTACAAAGTTTCTTATTTTCAATATTAAAATCTCCTTCAGCAGTTAACTTAAATCCAAGTCCTGGTGGACCTCGATTTGAAGTTTCTGTGCTTTTAAACTGACGTCCGAATATGTCGATACTCATCATGAAAATGATAAAAATTTCTACAAATGTTAATTAATAAACAATTCCAGCTTCTCTCAACTCTTCAATAATTGATATAATCTCATTATTATGACTGGGATTTCCAGCTGCTTGAGATGCCAAGAGCAATCTTAAACGATTAACCAATTCATTAGGATCATCCCAATAAACATAATCAATTTTTGTATCTTCTTGTTGAGTCATATATTCTGGAATTAAACCTTCACCAGAATGTACTGCTATATAGTTTAGATATTTGGAACTCTTTTTATCTCTAACAGCGCCATCTGCTTTGTAATATTTTTTATGAGCATTAGTTGATATTACAATATTTTTATAATTTTCCCGATCAACTACACTTAAAACAGCTTCTTCTGGAACTTTTTTGAATAAAAGCTCAAGTAAACCTTTCGTTGCAGGATATGTTTTATTACCTACACTAATATTATTTTGTTCAAAATTTATTCCTGAATTACCAATCATTAATTACCCTTTAGATCATTTACGAACTCCATATGAAGGATCTAAATCTTTTCCCTTTTCATCCAACATTTGAAGATATAAAATAGCACCATCTTTCTCTGATTCATCTCCATCTTCATTATCATCTCCATCATCATCATCATAATCATCACCGTTATCGTCATCATCAGCAGCTGTTGCAAATGATAAGTCATCTCTTAAAAATGAATCATTC